GTCCAACACGTTTGGGTGGTTGCTCCCAAAAAACAATTGGGTGGGTTCAAGGAAGGGTTCACATGTTTTTGGGTGTGTTTCTCCAAGATTTGGGCCAGTTTCTCTCCACATTGGGCGGTTTCTTCCCCAAAAATTATGGGGATCGACCCCTAACATGGCGGCCAAACAAGGGGGGCGGTTCTCCCAAAAAGATGGGTGGTGTCTCCCATGTTTCATGGGGGATCGACCCCAATGGCGGGGGCTCCTTGGAGAGCTCATTTGGAGACATATAGGGTCGGGCGAAGATCCATCGTTTTAAGTCTGAATTTCAAGAATTAATATTTACATTTGTTCTTTGTAGTAAAATATCATCTTGTTTGTGAGTAATTGAAGGATATGGATAAGACCTCAGAAGCAAACCGCATATAAGCAATAGAAAGAAGATGGAAGAAGTAAAGACAGTTGGTGAATAGTCTGGAATTGCTTGGACAAGCACCTCCACCAAAAGCATTGCTATTTAATATCTTGTACATTTCGGAGGTTTCCAGAGTTATAGCTTATTTGAGCTCCAAAACGAGGCCTGACCGTGGAATGGCTGTCATTCTCCCATCCTGGCTGTTCCATTGCAACCCAACCGATCAACTCCTGGAGACAGAGCGTGATGATGGCAGGCGGGAGGATCCCCCGAAAGGCGATTTTTTCTTTTGCTAGGTGCGAGAAGGGACCGTCCCCCCCCAAATGGTGGCTGTTTTGTTTGGTTTCCTTTTCAATCAAATTTGGTTCCCCTTAAAACAAACCACAGGGGATCCAAGAAAAGACACACTTCCATGTTTGCACAGAAGGAATGGACAACCGTTTAATTTTTGTCTTGCAATATCCCAATATCCCAATATTACAATTAATGTAAATGATAAAGGGACAACGAGGAAACAAATAAGACAGGACAAAACAACTAATATAAAAGAAGAAGGCCCTTGGGAAGTTCCCTTTTAAACTCAACCAACCAAACAAGGATGCCCCCTTTTTTTCCCATGACCACTGGGCATCTGAGCGATTAATTAATACGCACCAATCTTGGTGGCTCCCAGCCATCCGGTTCCTTAGCTTTTTAGCCCTTTAGTGTTTAGTTGTAGTTTCCATTCAACCCACTAAAAGTTACACTTTTAGCGGGGTTAGTGGGTGGGTGGGTTGGGTTGGGTTGGGTTGGGTTGGGTTGGGTTGGGTTGGGTTGGGTTGGGTTGGGTTGGGTTGGGTTGGGTTGGGTTGTGGGTGGGTGGGTGGGTGGGTGGGTGGGGATCAGAAAACGGGCAGCCCAGAATACGGGCTTTGTCTTCTCACAGAAGAAACAAAAAAACAAAACACGAGACGAGGCCTGGTGGAGCGGTCGGTGGAGACGAAGCTGTTACTGCTGGCGGCCCTAAGTGGCGAGCACCTCTTCCTGCTGGGCCCCCCAGGCGCGCTGTTTAGGGAGGGCACTCCTAGGAGGGGGGGGGGTGGTCCGGGGCGGGGGGTGCTTAAGGCTCCCTACTCCCTACAAAACCTTCCATTTGCTTAAGATGTTTTTCTATTTTCCTGTGTTGGTTTTAAAAGGATTTTATCACTATTGGACATATTTTCATTTTTTTCCCAGGGGTCTTAGCCAAATGGAAGAAACCCTGAAGGAACCCGACTTGGGGGCTCTCCACCTTTCCCCCCTTCCTATTTCTCAAGGCGATTTCCTTAGGAGAATCATGACCCAGGATTTCCCAATGGCTGTATTGGGGTTATTTGCCAGGTCCTGGACGCTGGCTTTCTAGTACCTCACCTCATTCTAATCGTTTACGCACTTGTATTACCCACATTTCAAGGTGAACAAAAAGGGACACCAAAAGGAACACCACCATATTTGCAGTCCGCAACAAGGTTCTTTTTGTGGGGCACTCGTTCCCGTTTCTTCTTCCACTCACCTGTTGTTTTGAACCCAAAACCAAGAGGTAGAGAGTCTCGTATGTGTGTGTGTGTGTGTTGGTGCGTCTTGTTTGCGGAGTTTTACACAAACACATGTATGTCCCTTTTTCAGGTGCCCTTCACGCCAATGTTGTCTTTTTGCTTGTTGACTTGTGGATGGTATTTGATGGTTTCCATTGTGATACCTTTGGGGACACCATCCTTACGGGCAATTGGCTAAGGCCGTTGCCCGTTGCGATTCCCACCCCATGTTTTCCAGTTGCGGTCTTTCAGATGGCCAACCCGGCTTCTTGACATGTCGAATTCGAAACCTTCATTTGGCCCTCAGCCGTCAGCGAGTGACCCCATGACCCAACAAACGGTCAAAGGCCCCAAGTGAGCCACGTCCTCAAACCCCGGGTAGATGAAGGTTAGTAAGGGGCAGTCCCAGCCAGAAATAGTTGCGGCCGCCTTCTTAGTTCTTAAAGCATGGTTCTGGGATTACGACCATTTTAGTACCGGGTTTTGATTTTGACTCAAGTGCCAGTTGCCCCTTATTTTGCAAATACTTTGGCAAATTATGGGCCACTAGTGGGTAAAGTGGCTTGAAAAAAGTGGCTACTCGGGGATCCAGGCAGCTGTTCCATAGTGGATGTACGCGCCGGACCCGCGCTTTCGGAGGCCTGTGGCAGCCTCCTTTTCAGGCCCCCACTTCCTTTTTCGGCCAGACCTCAACATGGGTTTTCTTGTTGGTCTTCCTAGGTGAAAAGAGTAACCTGGAGTCTCCTTCTGACCCCATTCTTTTGGCTAACCCACCATTCTTCAAACGTCAGAGGGAGACCCCGGGTAGCCCCAGCGGCGGCCCGCGCACTCCGCGCACTCCGCGCACTCCGCGCACTCCGCGCACTCCGCGCACTCCGCGCACTCCGCGCACTCCGCGCTCGGAAGGCACCGCCAAGAGCCTCCTGGCGCGGCGCTTGGCAACGGTCTGCCGGGGCGCCTTCTTTGAGCGCCTGCTCACCCGCTTCTCTGTGCCAGAGGACCGGGTGGCTGGCTGGGTGGGAGGCTCATTTGGCTGTGGTCTTTTGACCGTTTTGGGGATTGGTGAAATCACCACCCATTTCAGAGCCTATTTTAGTGGTTGGATTGGGATCTTCACGGGTACGATTTGGCTTCTGACCCATGGCCAGTTGTCCAAAGCCGACCTTTTTTCTGTTTTCCATTTTCAGTAAAGGTCCCAAAAGGTCAAACATTTAATTCCGGGCCTTTTGGGCTGAGCAGAGGCTCCAGAAGTTTGTTTTCGGCTCAGCCCTGAAGTCTTTATGCTTGCGCTGGTTGGTGTAGGGGCTGCATGAGGATTGAAACACGGGGCTAAAGGCCTGTTCTCGAGCCTTCAAAGACTTCCAGGCCCCCCCTGTTGTGTCCAAAAGAAATGGGCTAAAAGGAAACCACCTAGGTCCCCCAGTAGTGCCCTTTTACCCTTTTTGGGGGAGGGTTCCCCTGCTAAAATAGACTACAGAAGAAAGGTTACCCTTATTCCACCCTCTCACTGGAGGACCAGCAGCAACAGGTTGCAGGGAGATGCTGAGGATAATAGAAGCCCTGAGTGAAGGCCGAAGGAAGGTGGCAGTTTCATTGGACACCAGTGGCTCCTGTTCGGATTAAAAGAACAATGATGAAGAGGCAAAGCAAGGCCCCCCAAGAAGCCGTCAACTGAGGCCGGGGTGTTTTGTTTTTGGAAAGCTGAGGTTTAAATCCCAGGACCATGTTATTCTTTACCAACAGGTTCAGTTGATTCGCGCGGATTGAGTTGTTTCCACACGCATGAATCTTGCTGGTGCTGAGTAGGGAATGTGGGAATGAACCCAGGGATTCCCTTAAAGGAAACCACCAGTTGGATAAAGGATATCATTCCCTCCTTCCCTTCTGAGCCCCAGCTAAATCCCCAGTTGCCCTTATTTTCCAGCTACGGTTGCATCAAGTTACGGACTGCTAGGGGGTAAAGTGACTGAAACAAGTGGCTACTCTGGGATCCAAGCAGCCAGCAAGTTCTGGATTGTCGGACTTTCACCGGCAAGCAAATTCTGGATTATCGGACCATGCGAGAATGAACCCAGGGATTCCCTTTTAGGAAACCACCAGTTGGACGGTTTAGCTCGGGGTCATTCCATTTCTCATTCCCTGAGTCTGCGACCGTGGGCGCTCGCTTGTCGGACTTTCGATCTTAACAGGAGATCTTCGGACCTCTTTCCCTTCGCGCACTCGAGAATGACGAGCTGCGACGGAAGGCCATGCGATTTTCATAGGTCTTTCCGCTGGGTGCATTAAATTAAATTGACATTCTCGGAACGTCCCCTTCGGTGGTTTAAAAACAAAGCCCACCTGAACAGTGACTTTGAGAACTCCTCAGCATGTTCTCACTTGGGGCCCAGTTCTATTGACCCGGCATACATCACTGAGCACCTTGCTTGGAGTCAATGGTCATTGTCACCCTTCCATATCACAGCTTGTACAGCTGTCTGGTATACAGATTTTACAATCCACAGCGCAGGACTCAGTTGTCCAAAGCGCATCGACCTTTTTTTGCTTTGGGGTAAACCCCTGCCAGGAGCCCCCAAAACAGCTTGCAAACAGCCTCATTGGGAGGTCATTCCACAGATTTTTTTGCCAGCCATAGGAAGGGGGACCTCTTCCTCAGAAAAGGAGGGATCCCCTGCAATCCCTTGGCTTCCGCAGAAGCTTCACCGGGCGAAACTCGCTCTCTGGCGCAGAGGCGGGAACCGCTTGGAACCCTAAGGAGTCTGTGCTGTTGGGTTTTTCCCCGGGTGAGTGAGAATGGCTCACTTCCTGAGTTCCTGGACTTCACTTCCCATTTTCGCGCCCCAGCTAACTGCGATTCTTTTTGTTTGCTCCCCTTCCAACGTCGACCTAGGCTTTAGCCCCTAATTTCTGCTTCCAAATTTCCCATTGTTTGCTTCCAACCTCTGCGTGAAGCGTCCCAACAGCGATCCACGCGTCCGAGCTCCGGGCCGAAGCTCGCAGGTCGAAGGCTTCCTGCCGACCGCGGACGTCGCCTTCTTGGACGAGGCGCGATGCGATCCGATCGGATCTCGATCCGGATCGGAGCAGAAGGGAGCTTCCCCTTTTGCACGGAGCAGGACGCGTTGTTGTTGTTTTTTTTTGACAAAAAGGATGGGGAAGCCCTCAATCAGGTAGCACTTAAACTGTTTTTTTGTTTTGAGACAATTATATAACAATAAGAAAATACAAACAACAAGAGAAGAACACATGGGGAGGCCCTCAATCAGGTGAAACTTAGCTGGTAGTTTGGATAGCGGTTTGGGGATTTGAATGTATGGTTCTTCTTGGGGACAAATGAAAGCTCCCCCTTAGCCTCCAAACCATCAATCCCAACCACCAATTAGGGGGAACCCCTCAACTTGCTGTGTAGACATAAACTCCCAGGTTGATGGTCACAAGCGGGTCCCCAAACAAGAATCATGCCCATATCTCTCGGGGAAATGAGCCTCAAGGCAGATGGTTCAGTTCATTCTCTCCACAAGTCAAGTTTGGCAAGAGCAAACCGGAAACGGGAGTTCACCATTCCATTCGTGTAGTCTTCCCCACGAAATGAAGTTGAATCCACCAACGGAATGCTGTATGTCACTGCCCCACTTCCAAGAGGGTGAGAATATGTGCAAAGAAATTCACAGCGACTGCCACTGAATCAGTTCCCACCTGATGTTTGACGCATGGCAATAATTGGGGTCAAGACTTGACAAGAGGCACGCCTTGGAGGCAGGTGTAAAGCCTTCCGAAGCAGCGCATCTGCTTGGTCAGATCATGGCCTCCCATGTGGGTCTGTCCTTTCTTGGGGTGCCTTTTGGTTGGTTGTTTTTAAGTGAAACCAAAAGGAAACCAGCTAATTTTTTGGGGGGTCCCCTAGAAACAGACACCCATTTAGGACTTGAGGGAAGGTGATCCTTGGAGTTTCATGTGTTCCGCTTGCCAATTCCAATTGGGAGGTCAACACAAAAACAGAAACTTGACTTTTCAGGTCTTTAAGGCGAACAGCTCCATCCTGAACGCGCTCCTCACACTGTGCCTCGGCCAAAGACCCGAAAATCCCCTCAATCTCAATACGTTGTTTGTTCTGCCTGTTGGTTTCAGCAGATGGGAAATTGGCGCGACTGGCCAGACAAGCTGTTTATTGCCCTTTCCGCAAATGCACAACGCTCAACAGGCGTTTGGCCACATGTATCACAATTTGGTTCAAACACCAGGGCCTCGGCAGTTGCCGTCGCCAATGCGGGAATGTAGAGCCTTTTCCAGAAGACCACTTCGCCCTAGCGGTCAATCCTGATAAAGGCTGGTGTCAAGAGGCTGCGGGTCAAAGCCAATGGTACCATTTTGGGGCAGGTGCACCACCCGTTTTAGTCTATTTTAATGGCTACTGGGATGTTCACTGGGGGTACGGGATTTTGGCCCATGGCCAAGACTTGAAACTCCTCCAAATCGTTTCGTACTTCTTCCCCGTTCAAATTGCTCCCTGAGGGCATCGCCTCGGACATGCATGTCTTTGTGAGAGAAGCGGTACAGGGACCTGGTCTTCCCGTGTACTTCCACTTTAAGGCTTAGGGTTTCAAGAGACGATCGCCTTGTTTGGTTCGATGTTGGGAGCAGACTTGGTGTCTCAAACCGGGGGCCCTTAGTGGTTGGTTTCCTTTCGGGCTCTCCTTCCTACCCACATGTTTGCCACGGAGCAACAAAGACCTGTACCCCACCTGTACCCCAACTTGTACCCCGCCTGTACCCCACCTGTACCCCACCTGTACCCCACCTGTACCCCGCCTGTACTGCGCCTGTCCTGTATGCCCCACCTGTACCCCACCTGTACCCCACCTGTACCCCGCCTGTACCCCGCCTGCCCCATGCCTGTATGCCCCACCTGTACCCCGCCTGCACCCCGCCTGTACCCCACCTGCCCCACCTGCACCCCACCTGCCTGTATGCCCCACCTGTACCCCACCTGTACCCCACCTGTACCCCACCTGTACCTCACCTGTACACCACCTGTACCCCACCCACCTGCCCCACCTGTACCCCACCTGCCTGTATGCTTCACCTGTACCCCACCTGTACCCCACCTGTACCCCACCTGTACCCTACCTGTACACCTGCTTGTATGCCCCACCTGTACCCCACCTGTACCCCACCTGTACCCCACCTGTACCCCACCTGTACACCTGTACCCCACCTGTACCCCACCTGTACCCTGTACCCCACCTGTACCCCACCTGCCCCACCTGTACCCCACGTGCCTGTATGCCCCACCCACACACCTGCCCCACCTGCCCCACCTGCGGCGCTTGAGGCTCAACGAGCGCCGCTTTGACAACGGAGGCGAGCGGGTGGACGTGCCGCTCTGGACGGCGGTGGCCGCCTCAAACGAGCTGCCGGAGAGCGACGAGCTGGAGGTACGGCCAAACGCATCGGGCGTCGTGTTTCTTCCTGGACAGCCAAGTTGCTGTTTTTGTTCAGTCACTCTTTCTGGTTTTTGGGTTAAAGTGGATGGTCACTGTTGCCGGTTTTTGGGGCAAAGTGGATGGAAAAAAGCGATCACAACTGGCGATCCAGGTTGTTTCTTTGCGACTTTGTGGTTTGTTATGTGCTGTTGGCTCCCCCCCCCCAATGACTGGCAAATAACCCCAAAACGGCCATTGGGAGGTCATTCCACAGACCATTTGCCAGCCATTGGGGGGTCCTGGTTGTTGTGTTTGCTTTTCTAAGACAAAAGCATGCTTGCTTCCGCACCCTGCTTGCTAATCCTTTTCTCGTCTCGTCTTGTTGTGTCTTGTCTGGCGGTCTTGCGCTGAATTTTGTTGCGTTGTTTGGTTTGGCTTGGTTTAGTTTGGTGTGTTTGCTTGTTTGTTTGCTTGCTTGTTTGCCTGCCTGCTTGTCTCTGCCTGTTAGCTTGTCTATTTGTCGCGTCGTGTCTCGCGTTGCGTTGGTTGTCTTGTTTGGTTTGGTCGGTTTGTTTGCCTGCCTGCTTGTCTGCCTGCCTTGCCTGCCTGCCTGCTTGCCTGCTTGCCTGCTTGTTTTCCTGTCTAGCCTTATCATTTATTGTCTTGTTTGTGTTGTTTTTGTGTTTGCTTTTTATTGTTTGAGTTGTAAAGTTATATTGGGAAAGGATTTCTAGTCAAAATTGGAATTTAAGACAAAATTTCCTATAGGCAAGTATTTCCTTATTGAGTCGCATTTAAATCCAATTCAAAATCAAATCGAATCTGGGAGAGCAGCCATTGGTGGAGATGTGAATTGAGAACAAAAACCGCGAAAACCGCTACACAACACAGTGTTTTACTACTTCTGACCATGGTAGTGCTGGGGCTAGTAAAGCAACACGATTTTGGAACCTCTGATTCCTTATGAATTCCACTACTTCATCCTTATCAGACTCTAAGTTCCAACATAAATTAAATACATGTTGCTTTAAAAAAGTAACTCCAATGGGACTTTCGAATTTAGAGCGGACTTCAAACATGATTGTTGTATCTCAACTTAAATATTACACAGGATATCCTTTCCCATTAACTATTTTATCGCAACATGTTCAGCATGTTTTGGACCTCTGAATTATGTTCTTTTCAATTCTACTTACTAGATGTACCAAGTTCTACGAAGTGTCTAACCAAAGCTGTCTAGAGTTTCTCCTGACATGATTCAGTCATCATGCCTTTTTAGGGTGTTACTTTTCAATATTGATTATTCCTGGAGCCTCCATCGTAGAGCTCAAAATTATGCCTTCCCCCTGATTCAATACACAATTTGACACGTTGTGCGTTGCGTTTTTTTTCTGAATTGCTCTTGAGCATGTTTTGGGCTTCGAGCAGAAAGCAAATTCAGTAGTTTCACGTTCTTGCACAGAGGCGAGCTTGAGAAGAGTCATCAACGAAACGAGCGCAAACAAGTGCAAAACGAGCACAAGTCTGCGCAAACAAGTGCAAACGAGCGCAAATCCAAAATGTGGTACGGGGAATGGGTTCTAACCGACATGATTGGTGACCACTGGAGCGCTTCTTGGTGATTCCTACATTTTGTTTAAAGCATATTGTCACGAGCAGACAAATTTCGTGGAAATTGATTATTGTATCAATGGAGGCTGCAGGTTCTATTTTACTTCAAATGTTACACGGGATTTCCTGTCGAATGTACTACTATACTTGAAATTCAAATGCTACAATAATTAGAGTTAATTAGTCTAGTCTTAGTTTGGTCCTAGTCCTAGTTGAGAGATCCTTGGTTCTACGTAGTCCCAGTCTGGACATAGTTTACTGAAGTAATTAGAAAGTACAAGGACATTACAGAGGAAGTTCCTTTTGAATTCTACTCCTTATATTCATCGTCAAGTTCTACGCAATCCAGCATGTCTATTTTAAAGCACAATTTAGATATTGTTTATTCTATGTGAAATTAAATGTTACATAGGACTTCCTTCCAATATATTTTTTTCTTGAAATTGAAATACTACCAGAATTAGAGTTGTTTTTGGTTGAGAGGGGGGGGGGGACAAACCCTGGTTGATTCCATGCGAGTGTAGCTTTCATTAGTGCCCTTTTTCGGGGGGGGGGTTCAAATTAGAAACCAAAGGAACACCACCTCATTGTCCAATTCCCTTTCTGGAACCTCCAAAAGTGGTGGTTTCAATGCACGTGCAACTTTTGAAGGGGAAATGCAGTGACCGTTTGAGGACTTCGCGACTTGCACATCCATTTGCGATGCTTTTTGCTTGCCTTCGATACGGAACTGGCAGGGGGGGAAGGTTCCGAGCTTATCCCAAGATTTGAAAAGTCATTTCTGCATTTGACCCATAAGGTTTGCGCCAGGGGCTAAGGTAAGGCGGGTTGCCATTTGCAAGTCAACCACAGCATGGCAAGTTCCTTGCTTTCAAAGGCTGAGGTCGGTCATGTGCTTCTGGTTCGAACAATATGTAAGTTACCACGAACTTACTACGAGTTTAGTAAGCCCCGCTTGAATTTTCTTAAATCTGAACAACCACCTTGGCAACACAAAGTGATGACTATATACCCAACAA